ATCTTTTAAAGACAGCAATTTAAGAATAGAAAGGGAATAACTATTTCTGATAATGGAAACATGTGAAAATAATATATGTTTATGATAACTTTGGTGGTAAAAAACACAATCCACACACATAAAATAATAAACTGAATTTTATCAAAATTCAAATTTTCTGGTCTTCAAAGAATCTGTTGGAGAAAAATAAAACCTAAAGAACTCATGGATGTGGACAATATGGCAATTGAATGAAGAGAGGTGGGTGGAGGGAGGTGGAAGATGGTATAAAGGAGATAAATGGTAATAAAAATACAATAAAAATAAACTATTTAAAATACTGTTTATCAGTAGATGAGTGGATGAAACATCTATGGGACATTTACCCAATGGATACTAGTGGACCATAAAAAATGAGAAAGTTTTACCCTTTGCAACAGTATGGATTGACCTGGAGAACATTATGCCAAGTGGAATAAGCCAGTCGGAGAAAGACAAATACCATATGGTTTCACTTATTTGTAGAATCTAACGAACAAACAACTAACAAGGAGAATGGGGACAGACTCATAGATGGAGAGCAGAATGACAGGTAGTGGAGGTGGGAGGTGAAGGGGTGGAGGGATTGAGCAAAATGAAAAAAGAATTTGGACATGGACAACATTGTGGTGATTGCAGGGAGGAGGGGGATAGAAGGGGACTAAATGATAATAGAAAAATATGATAAACTAAATTTAAAGGAGAATATATGTATATATACAGTCACACAATAGAACACATTTAAAAATGTATACCTGATAAAATACCTGAGGTTGGTGCTGTTTGACTTATACACTGGTGAAACTATTATTAAAAAATATATAAAAATATCCAACCTCACAAGGACTTGCAGATTATGGCTACTGGAAATTGAAAGTTTCTGTTCACAATTATGAGTTACAATGACATTGATCTAAGACGTGTGTGTCCATTCTTCTCTGTACTACTTTTAAATATGAAAAATGTCCAGACACCTAAAAGAAGTATCTGAAGCAAAGAAAAACTTATGTGGCAATGATGTTTGATAGACTGTCTTTTATAAGATACTCAGAAATACTAGGTTGATTATATGTGTAACCCAAAATATGCTAAATATTATTCTTTGCTTTAGGATCTAGATTTTTAGTGCTTAAACTGTCATCTCATATCTGCTAAATATTTCTGTATTCTTAAGGAATTATATATAAATAGAATTAGATAGGTAACTCCCTGATTTTTATCTCTTCTCAAATTTACTTATTTTGTTACACATGAGCATCTCTACCCACTTAGCATTTTCCCTTGATCCTATCTCTTAGTAATATTGGTCAGAGGTGCCAGGTATGTGGAGTTGAGATTTAATAATAATAATAAATGAATCTATAGCATCAATATAAAAAGATAATTTTTATTGAATGTATTGGGGTAACATTGGTAAATAAAATTATATAAATTTCATGTGTAAAACTCTATGAGTATAATACAGCATTTGTGTATTGTATTGTGTGCTCACCACCCCAGGCAAGTGTCCTTCCACTGCCATTTATTCCTTCTTTACCCTCTCCTACCTGCCCCCAACTCCCTTCCCTCTGATAATCACCATACAGTTGCCTGTGCCTGTTTTTTTCTTAATCCCTTCACCATTTTTACCCAGTCCCCCAACCCCTCTCCCTATAACAGAAGATAATTTTTAATTGAATATTAAATGTACTATTATTTTTTAATCTTCTTGATTTTAGAGCGAGAGGTAGAAAAAGATAGAGGAGAGCAAAACATTGATGTGAGAGAGAAATATCTAACAGTTGCCTCTCACAGATGCCCCAACTGGGCCTGACCTAACAGCCCAGGTATGTGTGCTGACCAGGGATAAAACCCACCACCTTTCAGCAGAAAACAATACGCTCCAACCAACTGAGCCATCCAGCCGGGGCAAGGTCTCTTTTCTTAACAGTTTACCTGCATCTACCATGGGATTATCCAGATTCCTGCTTTATCCATTGCTTTCATTTCTTTTCCTCCCTCTTTTTTCTTTTTCCACATTTTTGTTTGCCTGCCCTCCTCTGCTTTCCTCCTCCTCCTCTCCCTTCTCCCTTCTGCCCTGTGCTTCCTGCTTCCTCTCCCTTTCTTCCCCCCTTCCCCCTCTTCTTCCTTCTTCTCCTCCTTCTTCCTTTTTTCCTACTTCTTCCTCCTCTTCCTCTCCCTCTTAGATAGTGACTTTCACAACATTTTGCTATTCTTTAACATCGAAATCATGTAAATTCATGGCCTCTGCACTTAGTGTTCCCTCTGCTTAGGTTACTACTTCCCATGAACTGAATGGCTCAATCTGTATTAGTTTTTGGGTCTTTATGTAAATGAAATTTTTATTAGCAACCTATCCTAATCACCATTTTAAATTGTATCTATCCATTATAATTGTTTATTTTTCCCATAGTACTTATTACGTAGCACATTACTATTTTACTTATCTTGTCTATTTCCTCTAGTTACCCTATAGTAAATGATAAGTTCCAAGTTATTTACTGATTTCTATTGTTGGTTAGGTGCTTTTCTACTTTATGCTAGTTGAAGGCAGAAATGAAATATTGTTCACTACAACCACAAATTTAGTCTTTTAAATGTAACAAATATTTATTTCATGTTGTTTCCCCATATTAACTTTCTAAAACAATCAATGTTGAGAGGTAATAAACATGAAAAATTGTTTAAACTTTTTCTGTCTTCAACATTGATCAGTATTAGGCATATGGAAAATAACTCTTCATCAAGGAGTTTTGGGGTCTAATACAAATGGTCAGTTATTCTAACTATGTGTTTGAATCTTTCTCAATTTGCAGGGGTGGCAGTTTTGAGGGTCACTGGTGTGGGCTGAAGCTAAAACAGGAAAGTTTTGAAGATTCACAACGAATGGGAACAAGTCTATAAGCCACAAATGGGAGTGTAACTGAGTCTCCAAACCTAGGACAAGCAGGAAATATTAAAAGAATAACCTGTTAAAAGACAGAAATTTCATTTCATTTAAAAATACCCCTTATACATTAAAAGTTTCTAAACACATTTGTTGAATTTATAAGTTTGGAATCAGACCTAGCAGGACCAATTGTGAACAAAAATCAATGACCTTAGAAGAATATATATTTGGAACACATTTGGATTAAGACTCATTTGTAATTATTCCCATTAAATGATACAAGGAAGGATTAGTTACTCAAATTCCAAAGATGACACTTTTTTTTTTTTAAATAGACTGGATGATCCTTGTCATGAGATGTTACCCATTCATTTTCTTGGAACTTGAGACTGCACTGTCTAACCTCAGCACTGTGCATTTCTACTAGGCTATGTTTGGTCAGTTTAGTTCAGCTAATCAATAAACAGGAGTAGGAAATTTTATTTCAATTCTGAACTTTAATGATCAAGTACAAAATATTGCTTTCTCTCTTTTGTGAATTTACATTGTGTTCACAGATAATAATCAAATCCACATAGAAGTGTTAACAATAAAGCAAAGAAAAATATATTGTATACATTTTTTTTGCTTTTGCCCCTCCCCCACAGACCTGTATACATTTGAATGAGTTAATACAAATATAATTGTAGAACAGTTAAATTCTCTGCTGCTGTTTCACATTCCTAATATTTGGTACTGATAATATTTTAAATGAATTTAAAAGCAAGCACATTACATAATGTTAAATGTTAATATATTGATATGATTTTATATATTCTTTTGAGTAAGTGATGGAATGTAATCTGCATAATTCACACTCTGCAATTCTTCAACATCATGTCATTTTCCCTTTGCAGTCTCAATCTCAAACGCTGTAGCTCTTAGAAAAAGTGAACAGATGGCAATTTACTGCTTTAAGAATGTGTTTAATTTAGTTTGGTATGACTTACAGGTTAGGTGTTTTCTAATAAATTCTCTTTCCAATTCTCATTATACAATCAAGCTAATGGAGCTGAAATGATGGTTAATTTGGTCTTGGCCCAGTGAAACATAGCAGGATTTAAGCAATTTTTTAAACCACTTTTTCTAAGAGTGAATTAGATTGTTCTATTATAGGAGGCCTGAATTTTATATGCAATACATATTATCTCTTTCAATGGTCTTGAACAAATTTTAAATTAATCCACTTAACAAATAATTATTTAAGTGCTTAGTAGTCGTCATTCACAGTGGAGGAATGTGACTGGTACCTAAGATACAATTCACCCTTTCATGGTACTTCTCTTCCCCAGGGAAAATGATCAATGAATCATCATACAAAACAGATGATTGTAAATAATATTTGATAAGCATTTAACTCTATTCATCTCCTAATTCCTTCCTGAAAGAAACCTTAAAGACTTTTGAGTACTAGATTAATTCTTGAAGAAAAACTCTAAAACAGACACTAGAGTACTTCAGGGAGATGGTCTTTGGGGTAACTTGAAATAGATTTTAACACATTTTATAGTTTCTCTTCCAGCTTTACTGAGGTGTAATTTATAAATAAAAATTATGTATATTTGAAGTATAGAGTGTGATAATGTAATATATATACGTTGTGAAATGATCATCACAATCAAGTTAATTAACATGTTCATCTCATATAGTTACCTTTTTAAATGAAATTAGATAACTTAAGAACTAGTCTCTTAATAAATTTGAAGTATACAATAAAGAGTTATTAACAATATAATCACCATCCTATATATTAGACTTCCAGAACATATTAATCTTTTAACTGAATGTTTGTACTATAAGACAGACATCTCCCCAACCCCCACCAATTCACCTTACAGCCACCATTCTATTCAACAGTTCTATGAATTTGACTTTTTTAGATTTATCTTGTAAAGAAGTTTATACAGTATAACATTTTCCCCTTGTTGTTTTTCCTTAAAATCTTTTCAAAGATTAATGGGTTTCCCCCATAATCATTTAGTACTCAATATAAAATGATATATAAGAGATAAAGAAAGAACTAATAACAGTTTTACTAAAACTTATGATTCTTGTGTTATATGAAAGGAGACAAGGTTAGCATTCCCCTTGAAAAGGATGCAAGAGTCTCTTGGGCCTAACAACACACGTGTGGTTAAAGCATTGCCACCCGCTTCCTCGTAGCTAATCATGGCTTTTAAAAAAGAAGGAACTCTCACCTTTTGCAATATTGTGAATGATCCTGGAGATTATGCTAATTGAAATAAGCCACTTGGTGAAAGGCAAATACTGTATGATCTCACTTATATGTAGAATCTAATGAACAAAATAAACTGATGAATAAAATAGAGCTATGGGTACATGGGACAGACTGATAGCTGTCAGTTGGGAGAAGGCTGGATGAAAGAAGGTGAAGGGGTTAGTCAAAGAACAGATATGTAAAATCCATGGACACAGACAACCGTGTGGTGATGGCCAGAGGGAAGGGGGGAGAGGGTTGGTGGAGGTGGCAAAAGGGCACAAAATGGGGACAAAAAGAGACTTTGCTTTGAGGCAATGGGCACATGATGCAGTGAGCAGATGATGTTTTATTGAGTCATACACTTGAAACATGTATAAAACGATGTCATCCCAATAAGTTTAATTTTAAAAAGTGAAAAGAACCTTATAATTCATCCTTGAATGTTGTATTTAATGTTTCTTACAAAACATATGTGATTCCTTCTGTAAAGTGCACTGTATTAGCTGCTTCAGTTTACAGGTTTGAACAGAAGAATCACTTTGTCTCTCTTTATGGAGCTTAATTAAATGAAAGAAAATAGAGCATTATAGACACTACATGTGTTTTAAGTGTACAAATTAGAAAGAAGTGAAAATCATAGGCATGTGCAACATGCAAAGTTAACTATACCTAGGAAATACTTTAAGGAAAAGTGACCTTTTAGTGAAGATGAAAATGATGACCAAGGAAAGGAAAAAATTAAATAAGGTGTATGGAAATAATGATTTGGCCCAAGAAGAATCTAGAGTAGAAAAAGATAAAAGATAAGAAAATAGATAAAGACCATCATAGCTGACATACAAGTATGAACTGAAAATCTGTGAGATAAGAAGAGTCAAATTATACTGCCTTGTGGGCATTTTATAAATTTTGCCTAATAAAAACAAGTTGACATGGGGTGGTTTCAAACTAAAAAATAACTTAATCATATCTTTAATTTAATGAAATTTGCTGATAGCTTTGTGGAGAAAACATACAAGGGGGACGATATTAGAGGGGGGAGTATTTGAGGATTTGGCATGAATGCAGACCCATCACTGGCAGAAGACATAAAATGCGCTAAGAAAACAACACTGGATTTATTGAAAAGAACATGAGGAGAAAAAGGGTCAAATAAAACTCATAGATTTTTGACTTGAGCAACCAGATGACTTACCTCAGAGATTTCTGAAGGAGAATAAGATTGGTATATTGAAGTAAATGATAAACTATGTTTTGGATGTTCTGAATAGTATGTGCCTGAGACACAGCAAATGCAGATATTACCCAGACAGTTTTACGAAGAGGTCAGTCAGCAGTGACTTTCTACATGAGATGGGACAACTGACCATCAGACTGTGTGTGGTCATGGAAGTCATAAGACTGGCTGAAGTATCAAAGTTAGAGACAAATGTCTCTGCTGAAAATATCAGAGACACAAGCTAAAGATCAACATTTTAGAGTTTTCTTTACTCTGTGAGATTGTATGAAGAGGGAAATTCTTTCCTCTACCCAGTTTAGGCCTAGGCAGGATTCTGTAACAACTGACAGAAATTCAAGAGAAAAGCATATTAATTTACACTTTATGTGACCTGGAGGCCCTCAAAAAGAAGTAAAGACCCAAAGGAGTGATAAAATCTAAATGTTTTTATACCAGATTGAACAAAGAGAGTCAATTTTAGAAAAGTAACTAAAATATAGGGAGGCTAAAATAGATATAATTATTTTAATAAAGCTGTGTATGTAGAACCCTCCCTCTTAATTTTCTATCCTTGATGAAAATAATTATTTTCTTTACCCTGGTATAGGAAGACATCATTCACATGAGATTTTTATCCCCCTTTTTAGGTAGAAAAGGGGAAATCAGAACATTCTTCTGAAAAATTTTGTTATTTGCAGAAGTGTTCTATTTTATTAATTGATATCAAGATGTTGAGGATTGTAAATCTACTCTTTAGAAATTAAACCATGAAGGGGGAGAAAGAAAGAAGGAGACAAAATAAGGCACACTCAAAAGGTGGAAAAATGTTGGGCAGGTCAGTGGGATTATATTCTGGTCCATACCTTGATATGTTGATATGTCTAATATTTATTTCAAGTGTCTCTAAACTTTAGTGAGTCCCTTTAATGTCTGTGAATTTGATTTTTATTCTATGTAAATATTGAAAAGAATAGTGTCTTCTTAAAAGGTATTCGGAGAAGTAAATAAAATAGGAAACATAAATATTTTCTACTGAAATTAGGGTAGACCTTGACCTGAGAAAAAAGACAGAAAAAAATATGATGCCAGAGAGGCTGACCTAGTGAGGCCTTCTTGACACAGGGGAAATTGTGTTTTGTTTTGTTCTTAATTAAATTTATTGAGATGATGTTGGTTAATGATATTATATAGGTTTCAAGTGTACGGTTTCATGATATATCATATGCATTTTGCATTGTGTATCCAACACTTAAAGTCAAATATTCTTCCATCACCCTGTATTTGACCATCTGTGTCTATGGGTTTTTCATTGTTTGTTTTTATTATTTGTTTATTTATTGTTTTCAGCTTTATATTCCACCTGTGAGTGAAAATATATGGTTCTTGCTTTCAGCTGGGAGGAGACAAAGGTGCAATTTTCATCGATGGCCCAGAATCTAGGTTCATCCGATACCAGCTGCCTCCACCATGCCACCAAAGTTCAACCCCAAGGAGATCAAAGTCATTTATTTGACGTGCACTGGCAGGGAAGTCAGTGCCACGTCCACTCTGGCCCCCAAGATTGTTCCCCTGGGCCTGTCTTCAAAAAAAGTTGGTGATGGCATCAGCAAAACAACCGGTGACTGGAAGGGTCTGAGGATCACAGTGAAACTGACCATTCAGAACAAACAGGCCGAGACTGAGGTAGTGCTTTCTGCCTCTTCCCTGATCATCAAAGCCCTCAAAGAACCACCACGAGGAAGAAAGAACCAAAAAAAACCCCAAAACATTAAGCACAGTGGAAATATCAGTTTTGATGAGATCATCAACATTGCCTGACAGATGCAGCACTGATCTTTAGCTAGAGAACTCTCTGGAACCATTAAACAGATTCCGGGGACAGCCCAGTCTGTGGGCTGCAATGTCATGGCCACCACCCCCATGGCATCATAGATGACATCAACAGCACTGCAGTGGAAGGCCTGGCTAGTTAAGAACTACAAAGGAAAACATTTCAATGAAAAGCCACTTAACAACCAAAGAGGAAAGAAAAGAAAACATATGGTTCTTAGCTTTTTCTGTCTGACTGATTTCATTTAGCATAATATTCCCAAGATCCAACCATGTTGCTGCAAATGGCAATATATCAGCTTTTCTTATGGCTAAGTTATGGGGTTTTTTGTTTGTTTTGTTTTAGAAAGAAGCCAGACCGCAAATGGAAACTGGAGTTGAGAAAGCCCAGAATGCATTAATGACACCACTTTAATTATTTTATTTCATTTTATTTGTTCATTTATTTCTTTTTCTAAGTATTTTATTTTTTAAATTATATTTTATTGATTATGCTATTACAGTTGTCCTAAATTTCTCCCTCTCCCCCCACTCAGCACCCCCCACTCACTCAGGTAATCCCCCCACTACTGTTCATGTCCTTTGGTCATGAATATAATTTCTTTGGCTACTCCATTTTCTATACTGTACTTTACATCCCTATGGCCATTCTGTAACCACTTTTTTGTACTTTGTAATGCTCTCACCCATCCCCCACACCCCCATTCCCTCTGGACACCATCAAAATGCTTTCTGTATCCATGATTCTGTCTCTGCTCTTTTTGTTCCTGAGTTTGTTTTTTAGATTCATTTGCTGATAGATATGTATTTTTTGGCATTTTATTCATAGTTTTTATCTTCTTTTCTTAAATAAGTCCCTTTAAATAACATTTCATGTAACAGTTTAGTGATAATGAACTCCTTCAGTTTGTTCTTATCTTGGAAGCTATTTATTTGACCTTTAATTCTAGATTATCGCTTTGGTGGGTAGAACAATCTTGGCTAGAAGTGCTCGCTTTCCATGACTTTGAACATTTCTTGTCAATCCCTTCTGGCCTACAAAATTTCTTTTGGGAAATCAGCTGACAGTCTTATGGGACCTCCTCTTTAAATAACCAACTGTTTTTCTCTGGCTGCTTTTAAGATTCTCTCTTTATTTTTAACCTTTGGCATTTCAATTATGTGTCTTGCAGTGGGCCTCTTTGGAGCCATCTTGTTGAAGACTCTGTGCTTCTTGGACTTTTGTCTATTTCTTTCACCAAATTAAAGACGTTTCCTTTCACTACTTTTTTCAAATAGATTCCCAATTTCTTGCCATTTCTATTCCCCTTCTGGTACCCCTATTGTGCCAGTGTTGGACCTCTTGAAGTTGTCTCAGAAGCTGCTTACACTATCCTCACGTTTTTGGATTTGTTTTTCTTCTTGTCATTTGGATTGGTTGGTTTTTGTTTCCTTCTAGTCCACATTATTGATCTGATTCTTGACTTCATCCACTCTACTGTTGTTTTCCTATAAATTGTTCATGTTATCAATTAGCGTATCTTTCATTTCTGGTTGGATTTTTTTATGTTGTGGAAGTCCTCACTAAGCTCCTTGAGCATCCTTATAGCCAGTGTTCTGAACTCCACATCTGATAGAGTGCTTATCTTCATTTTGTCTGGAGTTTTTATCAGTTTCTTCATCTGGGCCATGTTTCTTTGTGTCTGCATTTTGGTAGCCCCCCTGTGTTTGTTTCTGTGTTCTAGGTAGAGCTTCTTTGACTCTGTGTATTGGGAGTGTGGCCTAATGTAGTTGGTGTCCGGTTGGGTCCAGTGGCATAGCCTCCCTTACCACCCAAACTGGGTACCCAAGGTGGGCCTTTTCTGTAGGCTGAGTACACTGTCTTCTTGTAGTTGAGTCTTGGTTGCTATTGGCACAGCAATAGGAGGGA